AATTCCCATTGAATTCCCAAGAAATTCTCATTTAATTCCCAGAATTCCCATTTTATTCCCATTTAATTCCCATTTTATTCCCAGAATTCCCATTTAATTTCCATTGGGATCAGAGAATTCCCACTGAATTCCCATTTAATTCCCATTTAAATCCAGTGTTCCCACTGAATTCCCAAAATTCCCATTGAATTCCCAGAATTCCCCAAAAATTCCCATTGAATTCCCCAAATATTCTCATTTAATTCCCAGAATTCCCATTGAATTCCCATTTAATTCCCATTTAATTCCCATTTTATTCCCAGAATTCCCACTGAATTCCCAAAATTCCCATTGATTTCCCATTGAATTCCCAGAATTCCCAAAAAATTCCCATTTAATTCCCATTGGGATCAGAGAATTCCCACTGAATTCCCATTGAATTCCCATTTAAATCCCAGAATTCCTAAAATTCCCATTGAATTCCCATCTAATTCCAAGAATTCCCATTTAATTCCCATGAAATTCCCACTGAATTCCCATTTAATTCCCATTGAAATCCCAGAATTCCCACCTAATTCCCTTTTAATTCCCAATTAATTCCCATTAAATTCCCAGAATTCCTAAAATTCCCATTGAATTCCCAGAATTTCCCTTGATTTCCCAGAATTTCCATTTAATTCCCATTTAATTCCCATCAAATTCCCAGAATTCCCTTTAAATTCCCCTTTAATTCCCATTTAATTCCCTTTAAATTCCCAATTAATTCCCATTTAATTCCCTTTAAATTCCCAATTAATTCCCATCAAATTCCCATTTAATTCCCATTTAATTCCCATCTAATTCCCAATTAATTCCCAATTAATTCCCAATTAATTCCCATTTTTTTTTCTGGGAATTCTGGGCTCCTGCCCTTCCTGGAAAACCTGGAGACCCGGAGCATGATGGAATCCCGGATCCGGAGTGAGTGGAATTGGGAATTTTGGGATTTTTATCCCAAAAAATTCCCATGGAATTGGGAATTTCTGGGATTTTTATCCCAAAAAATTCCCATGGAATTGGGAATTTTGGGGTTTTAATCCCAAAAAATTCCCACAAAATTGAGAATTTTGGGGATTTTTATCCCAAGAAATTCCCACAAAATTGAGAATTTTGGGGATTTTTATCCCAAGAAATTCCCATGGAATTGGGAATTTCTGGGGTTTTTATCCCAAAATTTTCCAGCTGGATTTTTGGAATTTTGGGAGTTTGGGATTTGGGGATTTTGGAATTTGAGGATTTTGGGGATTTGGGATTCTGGAATTTAGGATTTGGGGATTTGGGAATTTGGGGATTTGGGATTTTGGGAATTTGGGATTTGGGGATTTTTGGGTTTGGGATTTTGGGGTTTTGGGGGTTTGAAGGGTTGAGATTTTGGAATTTTTGGTTTTGGGAATTTGGGGATTTGGGATTTTGGGGTTTGGGATTTGGGAATTTGGGGAATTGAGATTTTGGGATTTGGGATTTGGAGATTGGGAATTTTGGGATTTGGGGATTTTGGGAAAAAATGGGGAAAATGGGGGAAAAAAAAGA